GAAAGAAAGAATAAAGTTGAAGCAGGAAAAGAAATGAGCCCACTGTGCCTAATGATAATTCAGATGTTTGGCTGTCTGGAGGTACAGAAAGTTTTTGTGGTCATTCAGTATCGTGAAGGGCTACAACGTCCCTTTAAAAAAGATGTCTCCACTCAGACAGTGCAAGCTTATTTGCCAGTAGTTCTCTGTTTCCAGCATCGTTCCTCCTCAACAGGAGAAAACGTTTTGGAATGTAACACTTTTTAATCAGAGTATAGCATCAAGTCAGTTAAACTCCTGGGATATTGATGTTGTCAGTTAAGTAGCAGAGGTGGTTGTTAATCAGTTGCAGATGCTTTGGTGTTAATGAAATTAACAGATGCATTAGATGGGCAACAATGAGACGACCCCCAAAACAGGAATGGTGGAGGCCACTGACATTTTTTTTTTTCCTTACTCCTCTCTTCTGACTGTTTTTCACTAGTTTTGCATTTGGCTAGGGTCAGTGTCACTACTGGTAGCATGAGGCGATACTGGTACCCTACAGAGGTTGCACAGGCAATCCAACTCCTCCAGGATGGCACGTCAATATGTGCCCTTGCCAGAAGGTTTTCTGTGTCTCCCAGCACAGTCTCAAGAGCATGGAGGAGATTCCAGGAGACAGGGCAATTACTCTAGGAGAGCTGGACAGGGAGGCAGAAGGTCCTTAACCCATCAGCAGGACCGGAGGAACAGGATGAGCACTGCCAGAGCCCTACAAAATGATCTCCAGCAGGCCACTGGTGTGAATGTCTCTGACCAAACAATCAGAAACAAACTTCATAAGGGTGACCTGAGGGTCAAATGTCCTCTAGTGGGTCCTGTTCTCACTGCCTGGCACCATAGAGCTCGATTGGCTTTTGCCATTGAACACCAGAATTGGAAGGTCCAGCACTGGCACCCTGTGCTTTTCACAGATGACAGCAGGTTCCCTCTGAGCACATATGACAGACTTGAAAGGGTATGAAGAAGCCGTGGAGAACATTATGCTACCTGTAACATCATTCAGCATGACCTTTTTGGTGGTGGTCAGTGATGATCTGGGGAGGCATATCCATGGAAGGACGCATCAGACCTATACATGCTAGACAATGGCACCCTGACTGCCATTAGGTATCGGGATTAAATCCTTGGACCCATTGTTGGACCTTACGCTGGTGCAGTGGGTCCTGGGTGCCTCGTGGTGCACAATGTCGAGAGTATGCAGGCAGTTCCTGGAGGATGAAGGAATTGATACCATTGAATGGCCCCCACGCTCTCCTGACCTAAATCCAATAGAATACCTCTGGGATATCATGTTTCAGTCCATCCGATGCTGCCAGGTTGCACCTCAGACTGTTTAGGAGCTCAGTGATGACCTGGTCTAGATCTGGGAGGAAATACCCCAGGACACCATCCGCTGTGTCATTAGGAGCATGCCCCGATGTTGTCAGGCATGCATATGGGGCCATAGAAACTACTGAGTACCATTTTGAGTTGCTGCAATGAAATTTCAGCAAAATGGAATAGCCTGCTGCATCATTTTTTTTTCACTTTTATTATCAGGGTGTCTTTTGAATTCAGTCCTCCTGTAGGTTGATAATATTCATTTCCATCAAACGTTGGGGCACCCTTATGTTCCTAACACATTACCCAGTCCTTATCAGTATAGATATCCATAGTTACATATAGTTAGTCTGGCTGAAAAAAGACAAAAGTCCATCCAGTTCAACCATAAAAGGGAAAATTTTTTTTTATAATCCTACACCCACAGTTGATCCAGAGAAGGGGAAAAATTTTCTTCCTGATCCCCCGAGAGGCAATCCGATATTCCCTGGATCAACTTTACCTATAAATAGTAACCTATTATATTCTGTGTATCCAAGAAAGAATCCGGGCCTTTTTAAAAGCAATCCAGAAAGATGGCCAGAACCAACTCTTGAGGGAATCTATTCCACATTTTCACAGCTCTTACTGTGAAGAAACCTTTCCATGTTTGGAGATTAAATTTATTTTCCTCCAGACATAGAGTGCCCCCTTGTCCTCTGTGATGACCTCAGGGTGAATAACTACACTGAGTTCACTATATGAACCACTGATGTATTTATACTTGTTGATCATAATCTCCTATTCAAAGTGTTTTCAAAGTGTTCCTTTAATTTTTTTGAGAAGTGTAGAATGAGAGAAAACCCATTGGTGACCCATCAAGAGAATGCCTGTGGCTGGTCCAGGCCAAGTGGGAAGAGAGGGTTATTTATAATGGGGAGCAAGAGCAGGAAGGATGCCATGAGACCTCTAAAGTACCGCACAAAGTCCCAGACTTGTAGACTATGATGCATAAGTGGATTCTGTGCCGCTGGGCAGAGGTTAGAAGGAAGCCAGAGAAGCGTTGCCATGAACCATTGGGAAACCATTGGGAGGTTGCAGAAGAACCCATAGAAGTACATCAACTGAAGCATGAAGTAAAGTTAATTGAGAAATATAAGTAGCCTGATAGTATTTGGCTATTTTAGGAACCCCTAGTCCCCCCTGTAGCCTATGCACAAAAAAAGTTGTTCTAGAGACCCTAGGGCATTTATTAGTCTAGATAAAGCGCATGATTCTATACTGGAGCAATTGGAGAAAGTTTGATGGAACCTGCACTGGTAGGGTATAAAAGTAATATAAATGTTTGGGTAGAATGGTCATTTTCACAGAAATGATACAGCCTCTCCAGGATAAGTGCGGAAACTGCCAGGATTGCATGAGGGCAGATAAGGAATGGAGCAATGGGTATTAACTGCAAATAAAGAAGCGTTAGGAAGAACCAGCTGCATACCAAGGTAGTAATTAGAAGATGACGTCCACTTAAACAGAAGGTGAGACTATAGATGGGAGACCAGATTGGGTGCTAAGGTGACATTGAAGGCCACAGTTTTGCCTAAGTTTAATACGTTGGCCTGATATCGATGAGAAGAGTGAAAGGACTCGCTGCAAGTTAGGAAGAGTGACAAGAGGGTTGGTTAGAGTCAGTAGAGTGTCATCTGCAAAAAACTTGAGTTTATACTCGTGGGCTGTGTAGGAAATGTCTGTCACATTTCGGTGAGCCTGCAGGGTTCTAATGCTAGAATAAAGAGGCCTGGGGATAGGGGGCATCCTTTTCTTGTACCTCCTAAATATGGAAAAAGAAGTGGAGATAAACCCAGCAGTATATAGGGCCTGGATATCAAGTTAAGATAGCCTCCCCAAAGCGTGATAACATAAAGTGTAAGCACTCCCAAGACAGAGAGTCGAAGGCTTTGTAAATATCTAAAGGAAGCAGGAACCTAGGGATTTTCCTTTGGCGTAGAAGGTGTGTAAGGTGGATCATATTATGGACATTGTCACTAATTTGCCACCAAGGATCAAAGTCCACCTGGTCGCAATGGATTAGGCGACACAAATAGTTAATGCGAAGACTGAGAACCTTTCACAGGATCTTCAAATCTATGTTCAAGAGGGAAATAGGCCGGAAGGTTTGTGGTTCCAATGGCTCTTCCATCTTTTTGGGGATCATGGAGATGTGGGCCCTGAGTGCATCAGGCACCTGTTTCAAGGCATTATAGTAATTAGTTGGGTGCGGTGACAGAGTAGAAAATTTCTTCTAATAAGGGCCAGAGAAACCGACAGGACCTCAGTTTCAGTAATGCTAGCTCTTAAGAGCATCACTCGCTGCTTCAGACAGTGCGGGGAACTTCAGGTCATGAAAGGATTCCGCCTGATCCAGAGGGAATGGGTCAGGTTTAGCGTAAAGCTGCAAGAGGTAGTCCACAAAGCCGGACACAATCCGTTGGGGGCTGGAAGTACAACCTCCTGTGGATAGTTTCTTATCAAGCATTGGTCCAGGTTTGTACAGGTATAATATTTGTTTAATCCAACAAAGGGCCTTTTCAGCTACTTCTGCAGCCAGGGCGTCCCTATCCTTTCTGTGAACTGCGGTAGGGTGTGCCTTCCAACGTGCGTCTACATCAGGCACAAGAAAGTGGAGTGCGGATAAGCGACGTTCCCTGTCACGCTTCCTGGCGGTGGCCAGCTGGATGATTTGGCCTTGAACAGTAGCCTTGTGGACCTCCCTGTGCCCCACTGCCGATGAGACAGGGATAACATTATTCGCAAAGTAAGTTTGGATTGAGGACTGAATGTGTTGACAGGTGGCCTGGGGAAGGGGAAAGCCACAACATATAATAGGAACTTTCAGTAGAGTGGTAACAAAGTAAAACCGTGAACCAGTGGGAAGGCCCAGGGGTCAAAGCCTAAAATCAGAACAGCATCTTGGCAAAAGTTACTCGATAGTCTACCACCAATGAGCCAGGTTGAAAGCCCTGGCAAGAGGTAGATATAAAAGCCATTTTTTGTTGAAATTTGCCTAAGTTATATAACCATAATCTCCACACCTAGACTTGGCCCTTCCCTTTCTGTCCCGATTTCCTCCCCACCCCCAGACCTTTCAGGACTACTGTCCTTGGTGTGGACAATTGTCTCAACCTTTGTACCAGCCTCTGAATGGGACCAATAAGCCATGGAAACTGCTAAGATGGCATGGAGTATCCCTCGGCGGGTCCTCAGAGGAATGACTGCCATTGCTGTGGATAACTGTTCTACAACTGTTTGGATAATAGGTTTCATATCCTGTGGATTCTTTTAATGTTTCCAACTTTTCTTTCTATTGTTTGATCTGTTCATCCAATTTCTTATTTTCCTTCTCTTCCATTCTACAAGGAATTGGAGCAACTTCTGGTCCCTTTTTATTAAAAGGAAAAATAAAGCCAAAGCTCTTTTGGCTGTACTTCTCATGTGGATCATAGAGGTGCAGTTCGTTCTGCACTGCTGTGACCCATTTTCAGTTGACAGCGGACTGAAGTCACTCAGCCAGTCCAGACTTGGGCAACAGGCGGCAACCTACCACTGGGCAGGGGCCTCGAGGACTCAACGGGACTTTAGCTGTGAAGTCTGGCCTCAGCACAGCTCCCACCCAGCTTTCTAGGGACATTGGGTTCACGGGGACTCAACGGGTAGCGATGGCTCAAGCACTCAGGGGCACCACAGGTAGCTATACTACGGGCAAGCTATGGGGTGGTTCAAGTAAGGGTAGTCTAGGAGTGTAGTAGGGCAGTGCATAACCCAGGCAGTCTGTGCGCACAACAGGGACAGTTCAGGACACGGGTGGTCAGTGCACACAGTGGGGCAGTTCGGAACACGGGTGGTCGGTGCACACAGCGGGGACAGTTCAGGACATGAGTGGTCAGTGCACACAGCAGGCACAGTTCAGGACACGAGTGGTCAGTGCACACAGCAGACACAGTTCAGGACACAGGTGGTCAGTGCGCACAACAACAGAGACAGTTCAGGACACTCACGGTAAGCAGCTTGCAGACCCTCAGCGGCAGGTGGCTCCAGACAGGGACGACTAGCGGTCGGCATTCCAGGGACAACCAGCAATCAGCAGACCGCAGCAGCTCCCAGGGCACTCGGCAGCAGACAGCCTCCAGGGACACGCAGCCACGGATAGTGTGCATGGTCCCTCAGCAGTAGCTCCCAGGGCCACTCAGCAGCAGACAGGGTGCAAGGGTGCTCAGTAGACAGGCTTACAGGGTCTCAGCTGTGGGGTCTGACCTTTGAGGAGAAGGCTCATGCAGAGCTGTGGAGACTCCCAACCCTGGGGTATTGCAGAGGGCTACAGTCCTGACCTTTTGGGGGCCTGCACAGTGCGCAGGGGGGATGGCTGGGGAGGCTCGGTCCCCCCTCACCCGAGCCTCCCAGCATCTTTCCGGGAGCAAGATGATTCCAGCAGCATGGACAGGAACAGAGAGAGAGGGCTGCTTCCTGTGCAAGACTTTTGAAAACCAAGTGGGACGTGGCTAGGTTGCCTCGGCAACAGCCGCCCCAGCATTGTCCATGGAAGCTCCCCGGACATTGGAATGTGCAAAGGGGGAAGGGAGGGGTGGAGGGATATGGCAGGGGATGGGAGAGGCACTGGCAGTCGGTGACAGGTACACATGGACATTTTTTGTTTTTGTACCTATTTTAAAGATAGAGTGCGGATTTAAAGGAGTATCTACATGGATAATCTTGTTTTTTTTTGTGTGTGTGTTTTTTTTTCCTCTCACTTTATTTTAGTTATGTAAGAAGTTTGTGATGTGGTTTTAGCTTATACACTGGGGTTGAATACTGCATGACACTGGTTTATGTTTATATCACCTTATCTTTTGGGAACATATGAGTGTGAGCAGCGATACATATTTTTATTTGGTTCATGTTTTGAATAATATTCTTTAGAAGAATGATTGCACTTGAGTATTTTTTTTTTTTTTTATCTAAAAAAATTGATTTGATCCCCCTCTGCCAGGCCATTGAGCTGCGCCATCTTCTCTGCCAACTGCGAAGTAAACATCCATCAATACCCCCGCTTACACAGATTGAATACATTTCTTTGTAAATGGGAAAAAGACTTGAGCACAACCTTCTCTGTTCCCCAAAAAGATAGGATTCTTCAGATGACTCACAGGGCCACTATTTCAAGTTCCATTCAGGAAAAGGGTTACAAAATTATAGCTAAGTGCTACACAGTTCTATTGAAACTCCATAAACTTTTTCTGTAATGCCCCCCCCCCCCCCCCTTGGGAGGGAGAAGGGCATGCTACTCCAAGTATTGTGGTCATGCTCAAATTCTCTTTCTGTAACCAGGTCATATATAAATGTATGTGTATCCAGATGCTGGATGACCCGGCAACCTTCCTCCATTTAACCCTGTCTTTGAAAAAAATATAAATGCTCCCTATTAATCCATTTACTCACTGCAAATAAAACATGTATCCCCTGTATTGGAAACAACCTTCTGCCCCACCCATCAGCCTATGGCTTGCTGTCTTGGAAATTCGCTTTGAACGAATTTCTCCTTCCTTACCATGAGTACTCGCATTTGGATGCGTAGTAATCCCCCATAAAGCTCTGCAAATCTCGGTTACCACGACTTCAGCTAAACGCCACGATACCTGCCCCTCCAACTGGGTTAGCTATCTTGAGATGTGGGGAAATAGAGTTTCGGTTACCCAGAATGATCAGGCGACACTCTCAGGTTGCTGTTGGATTTCACAAAGAGGCGGATCCAACCTCAGCCTCCGATTTTTATTTACAAGCAGACACATGCCCCCCTCATGAATAAGGTCAATGCCCTCCCACAGAACAATGCATTGGGAATGCCTATACACAGGATGTACATTCCGATTGGAGCGTAGCCTTTCCTCTTATCTAGCACCGGTCCTCCCCCATGAGCCCTCTGAGGTCAGCAGACTTCCTGTCCTAGCTCCTAGTGGTATGTAAATTCTCTGTACATGCATCCCCTAGAAACATCAGTCTGTATCTGGATGGGCCCGATACGATCTTTATTAAAACACATCCATCCAGATACAGTTTCAGGTTGGTAATAGCTTGTAAGATATACATGAGCCTACACACGGAGTTCTCACTGCTTGGCGCCTTGCGGTACGGAGTCCGTGTGGTACTATGCTGCTGATATGTGGATACAGGCCCGCGGCCTACCGCCGGCGGCATTCGCATCGAATGCCGTGGTGGTATACACGCTGGTCTATAAGCGCAGATCTGCCATCTCATCCATTACCGAGCTGAGTACTATAATACATACATTGTACATGCGCATGGCCCAATTGCAGCCTTCAGAGCTTTAATTAAGCCACACAAGAGACATATGAATAACACTAATATATGACACATTTAAAGTTCATGGTTCAACCAAAAATACAACATTTCCATGACATTGATAAGATCTTATTTTTTTTTTTGTCTAGAAAAATAAAGATTTCACAGTTCACAGCATAACAACAAAAGGTACCACAACATCCAGTGGTTAAACCTATTCAGGGGGATCTGGAATGACTTTTCAAGAGACCTAGCAGTTTTTATACCCAGAAAACACTGGTGTGGCTTGCAATATCCATATAAACAAACAGAAAAAAAAGAATGAATAAACAATAATGTCCCCCAGGCAAAACCCACAAACATGATAACTGCTGGACAAAGATGGCACCCATTAACTTAATGAGTTTGGTTGCCCTGTCATTTTTCTTATGGCAGCCTCTATTTATGTACAGTATGTATATAGTGGTAAACTATTATTCATATAGTTTCCTGAAACCTCTCACTGGGGGTGGTGGATTTTGGACCACTGTAACTCTATGGCCTAGTATAGAAAAGGAGCAGCTGACCAGAGTGCGCTCTGCCACTGTAGGGGAAATATCCCTCCCAGACAGCAAGACATACAGACACTGTGGAATGCAGAGGTACAGATGTCACACAATTTATTATTATTATTATACAGAATTTATATAGCGCCAACAGTTTGCTCAGTGCTTTACAATATTACAGCAACAATCAGTTCAATACAGCGCTTCCTTGGAGCCATACAATCTAAGAGGGAGGGGCTTTTGGTACGTATGTAACTGGGGGGATGGTCCTGGAAGGTGGAGTAGAAGATTTCATTATTAGCTGAGGGCAGGATAGGCTTCCCTGAAGAGATAATTTTTCAGATTCTAAAAGTGGAGCAGAATAGGCTACAGTCTGAAAATCCTTTGGGGTAGAGAATCCAGAGATTTGGAGAATGTCCTTGGAGACGAGCACAGGAGGAGGAGACAGTGACAGAGGGCAGGCAGGACAGAACACCAAAAGCATCATGCAAACCACACAAAACTTTATTTTACGTAAATGTGTTCAATGGAGGGATTGCTTTGTGACCTCAATAGTAAGGAGAGAGCCAAAACACTTGTAGTACAGCCCCAAGGGCAAAAGGTCTCTGCAGACAGTGTAATCCAACAGTGAGCATGATGAACTTTCACCGAAAAGTTCAGGCAAAACAGGGGAAGCATGTACTCACTGAATCACAAGAGGGTGCCCAGTCTCCCAGGGGCTTTTGGCTTATGACACAAGGTATTTTGCAAACTGTCCGGAGTATGTGTGTGGTCTCTATGCTGGGATGTCAGCAGTGGGGTCCTGGCGTGCGGTCTCCCCTGCCATCAGGTTTCAGGGCTGGCGTGCGGTTCCCCTCTGGCTGGGGTCTCAGGCAGGGCTGGATGCAGTTCTGGCTGGGGTCTCAGGCAGGGCTGGCTGTCTCCCCCTGAGCCTGGGGTCTCAGGGAGGCTAGCTTGCGGTCTTTGGCTGGGGTCTCAGGGGGGCTGCTTATCCCCTCTGGACTATTCCAGGCAGGCGTTGCAATCTTTCATCAATTTTCCTCTTGGCTGGAGTCCAGGACCAGGGAGATTAGCTACAGTCCCGATGGGCTGGAGTCTCAGGCAGAGTTTAGCCACGAGGGTCCTGCCGCAAGCTGGGCTCCCTCGTTGCGCACTGTGGACAGAAGGCAAATCTAGTTCCCTGGAGATGGACTTTTAATCTTGAGATTGTTGATATTTTTGCCACAATTTTGGTTCTCAGGCCTCAGACAGTTCTCGTCTCCTCTTTCTGTTGTCCATGCTTAGTGTGGCACAGACAGACACACAATGCAAAGGTTAAGTGAACGTCTCTAACCTTTTTTATCTGCTTTCAGGTGTGATTTCTATATTGCCCACGACCTGTTACTTGCCCCAGGTGAGTTTACAGGAGCATCACATGCTTGTAACATTCTTATTTATCCGCAGTTGTGAAAGGGTGCCAATACTTTTGTCCAGCCCATTTTTGGAGGTTTGTGTGACATTATGTCGAATTTGCTTTCTTTCCTCCCTTTTTTTGTTTTGTCCCAATACACACAAAGGGAATAAACATGTGTATAGCAGAAAACATGTGTTAATGCAATACGTTTCGTGAGAAATACATGATTTCCTGGAGAAATATCAAGGGTGCCAACAATTTCGGCCATGACTGTATGACACATTTAAAGTTCAACCAAAAATACAACATTTCCATGACATTGCTAAGATCTTATTTTTTTTTTGTCTAGAAATCTATGTAGTAAAGATTTCACAGTTCACAAAGCATAACAACAAAACGGAACCACAACATCCAGTGGTGTAAACCTATTCAGGGGGATCTGGAATGACTTTTCAAGAGACCTAGCAGTTAGCAAGGGTTATACCCAGAAAACACTGGTGTGGCTTGCAATATCCATCATACATGTAAACATGTATCAAAAAAAAGTGAATGAATAAACAATACTCTGTGGCAGGGGGATGTCCCCCAGGCAAAGTGCTTAATGGCCACAAACATGATAACTGCTTCAGAGATGACCATGAAGTAAGATCAGATGAGTGTTCAGCTATGCCCTGTCATTTTTCTTATGGCAGCCTCTATTTATGTACAGTATGTATATAGTGGTAAACTATTATTCAGTAATAGTTTCCAAAACGAGAGAGCTGGGGGTGGTGGATTGTTTCCACTGTAACACTATGGCTGTTCTAGTATAGAAAAGGAGCAGGCTGACCAGAGTGCGCTCTGCCACTGTAGGTACAATATCCCTCCCGAGACCCAATAGACATACAGACACTGTGGAATGCAGAGGTACAGATGTCACACAATTTATTATTATTATTATACAGAATTTATATAGCGCCAACAGTTTGCTCAGTGCTTTACAATATTACAGCAACAATACAGTTCAATACAAGAGGGTTAAGAGGGCCCTGCTCCTTGGAGCTTACAATCTAAGAGGCAGGGGCTAGTGGTACGTACAAAAGTTAGTAACTGTGGGGGATGGACTGGAAGGTGGAGTAGAAGA